CACTCAGTTCGACCCAATGAAAAACGCTATAAATTTCTTGATTTAAAAAAACGACTAAAATAGAATAAAAAACGCAGCATTAAAAGATTTTTCAGCTGTGTTCTAATGAAATAATTTTTTGAAGTGAGCCTCAAGGGCTCTAAGATGAAAACATAATACTTTTTTTTAAATGTCCCATACAACACCGATTGTATCCATCAATGGCGGACCGCTGCGCCCAGCCGCGTCGCCCGAATCGGGCGCTACGGGCTGCATGACAGAACCGGCCGGTAGATTAAGAAAAGGCCTCTAGTATAAAAGTGGTGATCGGATACTCACAAGAAACCCCTTGGAATAACTTCGAGAAGAAAAGAATACGAGCCAATATTCACAACAGGCACAGATCGATCGAGGATCACGCAGACGCAGAAGAAACACAGGGGTCCGTAACTCCGTATGGGTCGGCAGCCCACGAGCGAATCGCGTGCGCAATGAATCGCATTATGCAATCACGCCGAGCATATCACGCACGCATTTTTCTCATATTCGACTGTGATTGGTCAATTTCTCATGACTTATGACTTAAAGGGCTGTTTCAATTTTGGTCTTAACTAAAGTTTAGTGAAACTTTGGTTAAGATTAACTCTTAGTTTAATATTGATTGATTTCTACGAATACTCCATCTAGAACGTTTAGCTAAACTTATAACTTATGCGACATAACTTTAGGAAATCTAAGAATATCGAATACTGATTGGTTCAGCGTTTGTTCTAACAGACATATGGCGCAACTTCAAAATTTATATTTTCTCTTATTGTCTCCGTAGTGCTATAATAAGCATCAACTAACACGATGAATAAAGGAAAGATGGCAAATAAACCACAACGTAAATGTGCTCAGAATTTCTCCTAAGCAGAGAAAAGATGTTAATAAATTTAATACAACAACATAAAGACATTCTTGAAAATAAGAAATCTGATTCGGTAACCTCAAAAGACAAAGAGAAATGTTGGAAAGTTATAGAACACTCATTTAATAGTAGATCTTCTGGTGAATGTCGAAATTGTTGATAATTGTTATAATTCCATAGGAGATATTGCATTATTCCTATAAATGATCTTGCATATATTCGTTTTCTTAATGCTTAAAAATTTAATTATACAATAATTTTAACATACCGGTTAGTAACAAATTCTAACTCTTCTCTTATTTCTTCTAATATTAATAATACTAATTGTTTGTTTAATCGAAATCGCACTTTAAATTCTACGTCATTTAATACGTCAAAATAATTTATACGTGTTATTTAAATTTCCTTTGTCTTCTGTGTTGTTCTTCATCATTATTTTCATTATCGGAGGATGACAGCACAAGATTAAATAAATTTGCCATATCTGAAAAATATAGGTTAATAGGACTTTCTTATGTCAGATTAGCTAGTTACATTTTTAACCTGACAGTTAAAAAGCTTAAACGGTGAAAATCGGCCGTTTAAATTGAACTCAGTTTACACAAGTTTAATTTGTTAAATTTGAAATCGTTGGTTGAAATCAATATTTTGCTAAACTTTGGTTAACCAAATGTCACTAGAGATTAACTCTTTAAACTGCGTTGGTAGAAACGGGCCAAAGTCTTATATTGTACAAGAGGCTGTAGCATTGATGTCCGCAGGATTTTTTCCAAGGGGGGGATGGCACGATCCAAAATATAGTAATAATAATAGTAACGTTAAATGCTCCTTCTTGCTTCCCCCCCCCTCCGCTTATGATACATACGTTAATATAACTACTAAACTGCTACCGCGTATATAGAGTGTACATTTTATGTAACTAAAAAATTTTTATTTTTTCTTTATTTTCAACTAATTCTCGGTTGTATTGCGGGAATATTTCGCGAATTATTAAAAAAAGAATTTAACCCTACAGCAACACATTAGCCTTAATAAACACGATTTTTGGTACCCTTGTGTTAAATGTTGTCAGTAATATTATATATTATGTTGTCTGTAATGTTATAAAGAACATTTTCCTAATAAATTATAAGTTTTTTTAACACAATGACAATAATAAAATGCATTGTTTAAAATGTAAATGCAATGTATCTTCAATTTATAGCCATTCATGCATATTAAAAAAACATCATTTTCAGGTTACTCAATAATTAAATTTTTTGGACAACCGGCACTTGAACTATTTTTTTTTTGTAATTCGGAATGTCAATTTTAAAATATCGAACCATATTTTTCCTTTAAACATTTTTGTTTCTAAGTTTTACATTTTTGTATAAAATAGTGCATATTTCTCTCATTTTGTTAATTTTATATTTAGTTATAACAATTTATCTACAATTTGTTATGAATATAGACACAACTGAACAAATATTTTCTAAAGATGTCAAAATATAATTCAAAATGTAAATGTATAAAAGTAAAAAAATCGTTTAATAATTTTTATAATAATATTATATATTTGTAAAAGTGATGAAAATTAATCCAGAACACGAATGACCGAATGTGTGTAGTAAGGATGCCCAAAACTAAGGTGTGTACTAAGGGTTAAAGTCGACGACTGTTTGGGTTATAAAACCTGTAACAGCAGTGGTTCACTGTTTTAAAAACACAGATTTACTGCTTTTAAAATACAAATTCACTACTTTAACAGAGAATTTATGTTTTTAAAGCATAGTGAACCACTGTTGTGACAGATTTCCTAATCTGAATAGTCGTCGACTTTAAGGATTGATATCTCGGTTCGCAGAGCAGAGCGACACTTTTTTCTTGTCAAATCTTTATTTTTATAAGAAAACGTATCAATTCAGTGTATTTTTATAAAAATTTGAGGTGAGCGAGCTCTTCTTAAAATTTATCCAGGGGATTCAAACTTCCTCTTGGAAAATTGGGGGACAGTTTAGCGCCATCTAAAAGAGACTCACGAGACAGCGAACTAAATTGATAACGTGATAAATAGTGGAGATATCATCTTTCTGCGTCCCAACGTAGTCACCATATTTCATAGATTTCGTTTAAGTCCTTAACTGGCCAGTTAAGTTAACTGAGCTTAGTGACAGTGGCCCTTAAGGACTTAACGAAATCTATGAAATATGGTGACTACGTTGGGACGCAGAAAGATGATATCTCCACTATTTATCACGTTATCAATTTAGTTCGCTGTCTCGTGAGTCCCTTTTAGGTGGCGGTGAACTGTCCCCACTTTCCAAGTGGAAGTTTGAACCAGACATAGTATCTCTAGATTGAACATTCGAGGAATGGGAGGAATGAGTAGTCCCTGTGTAGAAAAGGACTTACTGATTTTGGTTTGTGTTCTCTCTCGTTTCGCGCATGCGTCTACTAGAGAGAGAGGATCGAAAGAAGTGATGGGAAAAAATAACAGTACGAAGTACTAGCTTGAGAGATCGCTTGAGTGAGACGAACCTGTTTCACTTCGCCTCGAGTGTTGCATCCTATTATTTTTTGAAAGCGTTGCCGGCTTTGACTTACAAGGAGAGGTTACGCTCTGCTCTTCACCAATTTTGATCAAACTTGCAGCGATGTTAGAGGAGCCTATCTAATGAAGAACACCTGTAAAGCCGTTCCCGTTAATGGACCTTAGAAACTGAGTAATGAGCATTTAAAAATATACCAAAAATATGGAAACAGTCTAATATCTCGGAGAATATGCATTTTTGAGAAAAATGTCCAAGACAAAAGTGGTAGGGTTTAATAAGATGTATTTACTAGTTTTATTGGTTTGATCTTGGATGACATCGTCAAAAAAGGTCAAGTCAAGGTTGACGATGCCACCCAAGGTTAAACTAATAAAATCAGTAAATACATCTTATTAAACCCTACCACTTTTGTCTTGGACATTTTTCTCAAAAATGCATATTCTCCGAGATATTAGACTGTTTCCATATTTTTGGTATATTTTTAAATGCTCATTACTCAGTTTCTAAGGCCCATTAACGGGCTTTACAGGTGTTCTTCATTAGGTAGGCTCCTCTAACATCGCTGCAAGTTTGATCAAAATTGGTGAAGAACAGAGCGTAGCCTCTCCTTGTAAATCAAAGCCGGCAACGCTTTCCAAAAATGACAGGATGTAACACTCGAGGCGAGGTGAAACAAGTCCGCCTCACTCAAGCGATCTCTCAAGACTAGTACTTCGTACTGTTATTTTCTCCCACCACCTCTTTCGATCCCCTCTCTCTAGTAGATGCATGCACAAACCAAAATCAGTAAGTCCTTTTCTACGCAGGACTACCCCCACTCCTTAAATTTCTGACAATGTTCAGTCTAGTAATACTATGTCTATGGTTTGAACCCCCTGCATTTACCTTTGTCACTAATCGTACTATAACCTATAAATCAAGTGAAACCAAAATGACGGATGAGAATATCTACATCTCTAATGCCTTACTTTTACTCCACCAGTCGACACCACTCTCTACTGGCCGAACGCGGCATCAATTGGTGCAGCAAGAATAGAGGGACAGATTCTCGATGTTGCCGGGAGCCAACGTGCATCTCTGTATAATACTTGATTTCGGTTTTAACCCTAAAATCCTAAAATTCAGCCAATAGGGCTGCCAGTCCTAATTGGTCCTAACTGAATTTAAATCTGTATTCCATTAGCTGAATTTTAGGATTTTAGGGTTAAGACTGAAACATAAACCAGACATAAGCGGTAGGCGAGTCACCTTTTAGCGCATGCGTATTGCAGCGCTGGTGAAATTCAGTAACAGTACACAGAGTGAAAGAGAGGCGTCCTATAGTTTTGGCGGGATTCGATCAGGGCTCCTATTCTTGAAAAGTATCGCATACGAAAAACTACGGAAATACTATAGTATGCGTTACATATACTGTAGCATATAGTTTTTCGTATGCGATACTTTTCATGAATAGAGGTCCAGGGAATCGATTGCGTATTTTGAAATAAGGTGAAAATTACAAAAGTGAGCAAATTCACTAGTTATTGACCAATTAAATTATGAGTATTCTAGTGAATTTGCTCACACTTTTGTAATTTTCACCTTATTTCAAAATACGCAATCGATTCCCTTTATTTCGAGATATACAATCGACCCCCAGATCTGGCAGCAAAAAGATTAAGGCGGATAATGAGGTATTATATGTACCTACCTAATAGGGTCTAAAAAATAACTTCGACATCTCATATTCATAACTTTAAGTAATGATTTTTTACTCTATATGTAATTAAATAATATATAAGATATCAAGAATATTATATATGTACATACTTATCATTAATTGTACACATTTACATGCTATAAATTACAGATTTGCTTGTCCCTACTGTATATCCTTTTATACTGTGACAAAATGATGCACTGATATCCTATATATATATATCCAGTGCACTGAACTGGCACCGTCAAAATATATCGTGCCACTTAGTGCGCACTACGCGAGTGTCGTGCGGTCAAATGAACACGTGACACTAGCCAAGTGCGCATTGGCACTGCCAATCGAACACGCTCTTGACACTGAGTGCAGCCAGTGCACCCCAATCGAAAATGATATTATTTTCCAAAAAGAAAATAATAGTAACTTTAATCGTATACAAACTTAAAAAAAAGGTGAAAAAAGCGCTAAGCGTGCGTGCTTCTCGTGTAGGACCACCATTTGGGCCGGTTTCACCAACGTCAATTACTTAATCGGCCGTGGAACTGATGACTAATTGCGTTTGTTGTTTAGTAGAATTGACCACTTACGGTTGACAGTTAATCACCGATCAGGATTAATCGAGTTGATGAAATTCTTTGTATATGATACATTCCAACCCAAGTTATAATGGCTTTATTCCCCTTCAAAAATTATTACATGAAAAAATCATTATATCACAAAATTTACTAAATCTAATGATATATGTATCATCTGTATAAAAAATTTGATATCAACAATTGTGTGGCGCCAAGTTAAATTCTGTTAATTTAATTAAATTTATCAAAATTTTATGTATTATTCGTAAAAAAGATTTGATAGCCAAATTAACAATTACTTTTGCATAATGCCTCTAGGTTACCCTAAACTAAATTATGATTGCCTTGGTGACGGCAACATGATGGCAATTGAAGAGAAATTTATGCTACGCACCTGTTTCTTTTCTTATGCCAAGGAATGTTTTGTTATCTGGGTCAAATTCGTAATGTATGTGATAGTAAGCTGCAAAAACTTACATATTTTTTACAATATATGAAAATAAATGTGATGGTATTAAGTAAAAAACTTCTTTAATTTTATTTTTTATTGATAATGCCTAATATTAAAAAAATTATGATTTATTAATTATGACGCTGATTTACAATATTACTATTTCTTACCTAAATTATGATTCTTATGCATTTTACTTCGTAAAGTAACAGAAAAGTTGTATAAATTTGTGGAGATTTTTCAAAAATAAAGTTAATTTCTCGAAATCTGTAGGTAATGAATCTTCTTCAACCTTATACATTCGTTTTGAGTAGCTAAAAATACATAAGATTCATCACTCAGGAGTTAAGAAACAAAAACGTTGTAAATCAGTGTTATCAAGGAGTAAAAATATAAAATAATAATATAAAAAGATACTGACTCGTTCATGGTCGTGTAGCATGTCTGCAAAAGCAGATCTAGCTACTTCTTGATGATAATCGTAATATTGATCTTTCTCTTCCCACGAAGCAGCACCAGTGAGAGGATTCAAACATTGCGTGAATATACTCATATTTCGATTAAATAATGTTCTTATTGCAGTGATAACACTAGCTCTTAACATCCAACGTTGAAATGTATGTGCAGAAAAATGGAAGATTCATTTAAATACTCTGCTTTTACTTTATTTCAACTCTTTGTACCTGCAAGAAGTCATAGTCTCTATATATTGTGGATTCCAAAGTGCTTTATGTAGAATGATCAGACCAGTCTGGTTTTTTCCGGATATGCACTTTTTTTGAAAGCGTCCGGGACGTTTGGCCAGGTTTTCAGCGAGTCCGGGAAGGACTCCTTTGAGTACTCATTGAGAGAGAGAGAGAGAGAGAGAGAGAGAGAGAGAGAG